CTGTCAGCACTCAAATTAATGCACGACTCAGATTAACTGTAGCCTATAGCATGTTTGTAAGACTCTAATACAATTATAAAGTAATTATTTTATCACAAATAGATCTTTCAATGACTAAAACTGTCTGTGTCTATAGTATTATAGATTACACAACATTATAATATTATTTTCAAATTAATTTTTTAATTACTAGGCCTATACATTTAAATGATTGTCCCCAGATTAGTAGGGTACTCTTGTAATAAAGTAGCAGTGGCTGGGATAGATTTTAAATATCAATTCCACTTAAAAAGATGCAATCTAATCCTGTTTACATGAAATAAGCCTGCTCCCGAGCAGGTTTAAGTTTACGGACCTGTTGCTATGACAGTAAATCCAGGATGAACGTCGAAGAACAAAATAATCCAAGATCATGCCAAACCGTCAACAATCACATCCAGTTAACTGCGTTAGTGACGTACGAAGAACAGGCCCCTGGATGCACTTGTGTCCATGTCTTTGTTTTTGTCCATGTTTTTGATAGGATGTTGTTTTTTGGTTAGTGTAGTTTAAAGGGTGTTCCATAGAAAATAAAAATCAAAAATACAGCTTTACAGGGATTTCTAACCTCATTTTCCATTGCACTTTTTTTCTGTGCTTTTACTATCCTAAAAACAATGTTTCTGTGTATCAACATATGTGCTGGAAAAAATATTCTTTTTGTTCTGTGACTAACATGGATTTGAATAAAGAGTTATTAAATATTTTTACCTCCACTTCAAAGTCAAATCAAGCCACCTTTATTTATATAGCACTTTTAAAAATACAGATTGTGTCAAAGCAGCTTTTCAGTATCAAAATAGGAAAATAGTGTCTCAGTGCAAAAGGACAATAGTAAACACTCAATTTTCAGTTAAAGGCAGTTCATCATTGAATTCAGTGATGTCATCATCCAGCTCAGTTCAGTTTAAATAGTATCTGTGCAATCAAGTCGACGATATCGCTGGAAATTAGGTGTCCCCAACTAAGCAAGCCAGAGGAAACAGCAGCAAGGAACCAAAACTCCATCGGTGACAGAATGGAGAAAAATACCTTGGGAGAAACCAGGCTCAGTCGGGGGGCCAATTCTCCTCCGGCCAGACGAAGCAGCAGGTTGATCCATGCTGCAGCAAAGTTAGATTGTGCAAAGGGCTCATCTGGTTCCGTGGTCTTGTCCCGATGGCCATCTAGGAGACAAGGTCTTCACTGGGGATCTGTCTCTGGGGCTCATCTAGTTGTCCTGGTCTCAGCTGAAATTCAGGGCTTTTCTATCCTAAGTTTCTATCTTTCTATCGTCTCTAGGTGGGTTGAGAAGGTCCACCCCCAAACCCCCAAAAAATATATAATTTGACAGATTGCTCTCACAGATATGCCCTTAGGAGTTGTAGAACATCGACTGATGCTCACTTACAGTGGTCCAGGAGCTAAGTCTAAGAAGAAAGATATTCTGGAGGGTTAAAAATAGTAGAATTGATGAGAAGCTTATATTTGAGAAGGTTATATTTTTGTCAAAAACATTCTTGTGGACAAAAAAATATATATGTATGTTCCCTTTCATACATTATCCCAATGCTACATGAGGGCTGACACTATGGGAACACCCTCTGAGTGTGTCGACTGTCTGAAGCCCACGCACAGTACAGGTAGACCGTGTACAGCTGGAAAAGAGGGACAGCTGAAACACGTTAAATAACTTGCGTGTACATCACAACTGACCCATAATTTTTGCTCCACACATGCATAGTAATGTCTTCTTCAAGTGGGGAAAATTTAAAGGATGTACAATTCTCTACAGTTAAAAAAAAATGCACTAATATCAGAACCTTCATGTCATTTTTCAAAACTCAAGACATAATTCACAACCAATGATCAAAATGCACATTCTTAACACTTTTTCCAAATGTTTGGATACAATACACTTAAAAGATGATGTGTGCTTGCATTCTCTTCATTTGCTTAGAAGCACCAATACAGTATTACATTGAAGCACTGAATAAACCATCTATCTCACACTGAGAAAGAAGCATGTCTGTGCTTGCATTGTCTTCATTTGCTTAGAAGCTCTAACATAACTTGAGCATAACACTTCTAACACATTAAGAACAGTCTTTCTGCATCGCAAATAAGTTTTTATCTCATAGAGAAGAAATATCTTTCATACGGGCAAGCTTTACTGTTAACATTGCATTAACCAACTCTCTCACTGAGAAAGAAGCTTTACAGCATATGCGTGCTAGTTATGTTCTCTTCATTTGCACAAGCACAAACACAGTATTACTGTTCATAGAAGCTCTAAACTAATCTTGCTGTGCATTGAAGCTCTAACATAACTAGTTGAGCATATAACTTCTAACAAGTTAAGAACTATCTTTCTGCCTTGCAAATAAGATTTCATTTCATATGTAAGAAAAATCTTTAATATGGGCAAGCTTTTCTCTTAAAGGGGTCATATGACGTTGCTAAAAAGAACATTATTTTGTGTATTTGGTGTAATGCAATGTGTTTATGCGGTTTAAGGTTAAAAAAACACATTATTTTCCACATACTGTACATCATTTTTGCTCCTCTATACCCCGGCTTTCGGAAACGCGTCAATTTTTACAAAGCTCATCGTTCTGAAAAGCGAGGTGCACGCTGATTGGCCAGCTATCCAGTGTGTTGTGATTGGCCGAATACATCAAGCGTGTGACGGAAATGTTACGCCCATTACCATACTGTGATGTCGTGTCCCGGCGTGATGAGACAAAACCAATAAAACCCATTACAAACGAGGGTTCCCTTTCAGTCGGTCACGTTCGACGTTACGTCAGAACAAACTGACAAGTGGGGATCTCGCCCGAGAGCCCAATCACCTTCGACTGGTAACAGAACGAGCCAATGGTATGCTGAGTACCTTTGTCTGCGGAATTTGCATTGCGAGCTCCGCCCTGCTGTGTGGGTATATAAGGAGCAGCGCGAGCAACTCGCATTCAAGCTTTCGCTTCGAAGCCGAGCACATCTCTCTGCTGGTATCACCGGAGTGTTTTGCAACGAGCCTTCAGTGGTGTTGGTGTGACAGCGAGATTCAGCGGTTCGTTGAAGAGCTTCCTGCTTCTTCTTTCCAGCTCCTGCGTTCCCCCTCCTTCTTTCCTTTCAGCACCTCTGAAAGAGCTATTTCCTCTAAAAGAGTACACGGGTTGTGTACTTTTTAAAGATGTCATACCGCCCGTTCTGGGTGCGGTCGATATTTGGCTTCTCGTGACGGCCACGATCGCTGTGTCACGTGTCTGGGCTTTCAGCACGCTGAGGCTGCGTTCGTGGATGGTTCATGTTCTCATTGTGGGGACATGACCATCTTGGCGTTAAGATCGAGACTCGATTACCTTAAACGGTATAAAGTTCCCTCTGCCACACCCCAATCTAGTTCCTCTTCCAAGCGTAAGAGGGCTACTTTGGCTGGTGGCCAGGGTGATCTGAGGGTTACGGTGTGGGCTTCCCCGCCGAGACAGCCTCCTCGGGCCGCACCCCCCTCACAAACACCGCAGCCTGTGGAGCCTCCGGTTGAGCTTGTTGGGCCCTCTCACCAGGATCCCAGCATCTCATTCGGGGCTCAGGAGGATGACCGAATGTCGATCGCCGCATCACAAGGCGGGCTTGAGTCCTCGGGAGATGAGGATTCGGCTGCGTTGCCTCTGTCTGGGAGGCCAGCGTTGCCCGAGTCTGATCC